ACCCAATCGTCGCACGCGCGAAGCTTTTCGCACAAAGTCGAAGCTCGCAACCCCCTTACAAATGTTACGCCTACTTGCACCAATTTGGGGCCTATCGAACACAAATATTCGCTCATATATTCATAACAAGCAGTACAGCCCACCAAGTAAAGAATGAAAGAATTCAGGAATTCGCATCAGCACACCAAACGCTAGAAGAGGAATCATCAGCAACCCCTGAACCCACCGTACAATACAGACCATTCAAATGATCACCCCACCAGAGCGGAATCTTTTGCATGCCATCACAACATTTAGCCCAACAATGAGATTCACATGAGAGCATTCAGCCCACCAGAGAGAAATCATACCAGAGCATTCATAGCACCACACACTCAGAACCATACATACGACACCATTCAATCTATCACCAAGCGCACCAGACATTCACCACGACATACACAGCCCACCATACAATACACTCAGCGGCACGTCTCAAACCGCTGCTTTACGGAAATTGCCGCGCGCGCACACTACTCGCAAGCACACTACTCGCCTCGTACGACCTCGGGGTACCATCCAGAAACCCCTCTCCCTCAGCACCATCCGCGGAAATCGGGTGGTGCAGCGTCGCAATCATCCGTTGGAAATCCCTAGCGCGTTGGGCGTGGTCTTCGCGGTAAGTCTGTCCGAGCACACCGTGAATCTCGTCCGTATGCTTCAGCTCCGCGATCCCGACATTCAGATGCACCTCCGCGTCTGACGGCGTCTGCAGCTTGGGGTGCGCGACGCGCAGTCTCAAATCGAGCGCCACGAGCCCGTCGATTGTAACCAGGTAGTAGTCCACGGCGAACGGCCCCTCCATTTCGTGAGCGCGAAATTCGATCGCGAGACCGCCCGCGCTGGTAACCACGTCGCCGAGCTGCATGCGGGGAATCACCTTGCCGTCGATCTCGACATCACAAAAAACACGGCCTGAAAACAGGCGGTTTTGGTGGGGTTTCCTGCCCAACCAATGGAAATCCGTCGGAACACGTTCAACTTGTTCCGACGGAATTCCACCGAGTGGCGCAGTGGCATCGTCACTGTATTTTCCGTTGGTTTTCCATCCCGAAGAGACTGGATGATTTCCGATGGAAAGCCGTTATGTTTTCCGGCGGATTTCCATCACAATCGCGCGTTGGTCGAAACCAGATTACCTAGCAATAAATACGATAAAAATATTGTACTGTACTGTCACAACATGGATAAATGTAAACGTTGCCACATACAGTTTTATTTCCTACGAATTATATACCAATAATTATTAATACGTAGCTAAAACAGAACGATTTCGCATAATACTGATTCGTTTTTTTGCTTCACCTAAAGAAAAAGGTGTCTACAAACATTAATTATTCAGTCAATAAAAACAACAAATCCAGGAAACATGCAGTGCTACTGCTGCACAGCAGTCGTCTTCTTGAATCCAGCTTCGTAGTCACTCGCATCGATAAGGATGCCGTTGCCAAACACAAACACGTCCCTCTCAGCATCATAGCTCACCCCAAGGTTGGTGACGGCGTGCTCCACCGACTTCCGGCACCACTTGACTTTCTCCTCGTACAATGGCCTGTTGTAGTCAGGCTTGCTGCTCAACTTCCCATCGGCGGTCTTCTCCAAGATCGGATATTCCAACTGCAATTATCGATAATGGCAATTAGATTCTCGACAGGATCGAATTAGAAAAATCATGATCAGAATCAAGGGGCGTGTACTTACAGCGAACAATGCAAAGGCAATTTGGCGGGTCTTCCATACCCCCAGTGCCATGCCCGATCTCACGAATGCAGCGAAAATTCCCTCAACAAAGATTTCGCTCGAAAAGGGCCACTTCGTGTCGTCGTCCACGTGCCAGCCCGGTCCCGACACGGCTGTAAAGTGGGTAAAGGGAGTTCAGGAAAGTGTCAGATGGGGCGAGAGGTGAGAGCGGTGGTGACTGCAGGCTGCCGTGCTGTGGCTCTGCCTGCCAGAGGGACACGCAGGGGAGAGAGGGTCAGATGGGGGGAGAGGTGATAGCGGTGGTGACTGCAGGCTGCCTTGCTGTGGCTCTGCCTGCCAGAGGGACACGCAGGGGAGAGAGGGTCAGATGGGGGGAGAGGTGATAGCGGTGGTGACTGCAGGCTGCCTTGCTGTGGCTATGCCTGACAGAGGGACACGCAGGGGAGAGAGGGTCAGATGGGGGGAGAGGTGATAGCGGTGGTGACTGCAGGCTGCCTTGCCGTTGCACTGCCTGCCAGAGGGACACGCAGGGGAGAGAGGGTCAGATGGGGGGAGAGGTGATAGCGGTGGTGACTGCAGGCTGCCTTGCTGTGGCTCTGCCTGACAGAGGGACACGCAGGGGAGAGAGGGTCAGATGGGGGGAGAGGTGATAGCGGTGGTGACTGCAGGCTGCCTTGCTGTGGCTCTGCCTGACAGAGGGACACGCAGGGGAGAGAGGGTCAGATGGGGGGAGAGGAGAGAGCGGTGGTGACTGCAGGCTGCCGTGCTGTGGCTCTGCCTGCCAGAAAGCAAGGCAGGGGCGAGACGGAGATGAGGGGAAACACAGAGATCCTAATCATGGCTGCTTACTCACCGTCCCCATAGCCGATCAACAGCTCGGCGTCGTCCAGCTCCTTGGGGTCCTCGACACCCCCCTGGTCGTTTTTCCTCTTGATGCCTTGTGCTGTTAGCACCTTCTTGCGAAACCTTTTGGCGATGAGGCATCGAGTGTTTGTGTAAGCGACGGAGACCGATCTCAGGGTTTGCTTGCATCGGAAAGTCCACAAAATCGTCAGGTGTGGAGCAGCTGCAGGGGACATCATGTTTTTAAGGCCAATCAGGGTTTCGTTGTCGTTGGGGTAAAACTGGATGCCGTGTGCGCGGTTTGTCCAGAAGTAATACGTCGCCAGCTTGCTGCAAAATTTCTGCCATGGAAACAAGGTGATGCGCCAGTATGTAAACGTGGTGAGGAGGTTTAGGAATCGCAACGTCCATGCCGAACAAAAAAGCCGCAAAGTTAGAGTTACGAGTGCTCTTGGGTTTAGAAAAAAAGCGCATTCCGCATGGCTCACCTGCCAGCCGCCGGTTTCTGCGTTGATGAAGTCGCGGGCAATTTCCTCCGGGGACTTCTCACGCACCGGCGCCTTCACTGGTTTAGACCCACCATCCTGAGTTCCGCCACCCTCCCCGTTGGGATCATGCTTGTCACATCCGCCACACCACCTGCAGGGCCGTCCTAGCAGCTCATCCCGCAGTGCTTGCAGATCAGCCAAGGTTGCATATGTATTCTGTGCAACTTTTTCAGCTACAGATGCGACAGCACGCGGCCTGGGCTGCCCAGCACCGATTCCAGGCCTTGACGTAGCAACCGGCCTCTGTAAACCAGTTGATGCTGCTGCATCGGGTCCACGAGAACCAGATGATCGGCCAGCCGATGGTGCGCGACCCTGACTCCCATTTGATGGCAGAGGTGCTGCACCCCGTGCCACACCATTCATACCACCCCCGCTGGCATTGGGTTGGGATCTACCACCCATGTTGGACCCTCCATGGTGTCCCCCAGCACGACCACCACCAGCTGATGCGGTTGGACCCCATCCTCTCTGCGTACGATTGGGCTGCCCAGCGCTCCCCCCTGCACTGTTAACCCTTGGGCTGCCCCGTGCACGCCCGACTGAGACCGGGGAGTTGGGTGAGCCTACGTGGGCCAGACCTGGGATCATACGGCTTCCATGTCCTGCCGAAGTAGATGGTGCAGGTTGCCCTGCTCCTCCTAATCCCACTCTGTACGACGCAACACCGCCTCGGCTTTCAGCACCTGCACTGAGCATGTGAGCCCGTGGTAAGCCTGACATCGTTGCCCTACCTCCCCCTCCGTTGCTCATTCCCGGACGTGCAGGTGCAGGGGCTGAAGTGGCCGGGTGGGCATTGCCTGTGCCTTGAGACGCGTAGGCACTGCCGACTCGCCCTCCTGACAGGTTGATTCGCGGTGGACCAGCAGCAGTCCCTGAACGATTGGAGTGTGCCAACCCCATGTTCAGTGGGGCTGCTGCAGCTACTGGCCGAGGTCCTCCCGTTCCCAGCACCGGCTGATGTGCTGGGACCACTGCCGCAGCACGTGGGATGTGCTGTTGCTGAAAATTACCCAGAAACTGCTGTCCTGGTGCAGACTGCCCCAATTGAACATGACAAATTTCCATGGGCGGGCCAACGCCCGTATTCACGATGTTAACTGCCATGCCACGAACGTATGCAACACGGAAACGGGTCATTTTGCTACATGCGCATGGAGAATGGGGATGGGGCGAACGAAGAATGTGAGAGCGTGTGTGCTCGCGTAGATAGTGCACCGGCAAGCTCATGGGGCAACGCTACGTTCATGTGCGTGACCGGACCATAGCTACCATTGACTCTCTTACCATACCAAGCATCAAGGAGATGGCCACTCAGGCCAACCTTTGCCTACCTGCTGCTCCCTTTCCTCTCCCCCGTCCCGTGCCAGCAGCTCCGCCTCTGCCACCACCGGCTCCTTGTCCGCCACCCCGATTGCCGCCTCGACCTCCCCCTCTCCCTTCGACGCGTCCTCCACCCGTCCCATTGCCACGCCCTCCTCCCCGACCTCCGGCCCTCCCTCCTCCTCTCTCTCCACCTCTGCCTCGGCCTCTCCCTCTCCCTCGTCCTCCTCCCCTCACCTCGCCTCCTTCGCCTATCCCTTCGCCTATCCCATCGCCCAAGCCTCCGCCCAGCCCACCGCCTCGCCATCCGCCCCGACCACCGCCCCGTCCTTTCACGCGCTCACCTCCGCGCTCATCTCCGTGGCCCCCACCTCGCCCTCTGCCTCGCCCCACTCTACGCGCTTGCCGGGGTTGCTCTGGTATTTCTTCTTCGCGGCCACGTTTCCTCGCAGCACGTTTGGCGTTCTGCAGCATGCTTCCACGTCCCGCGGCAACAGGAGCATTCAGCATCTCCATTGCTTTCGCCTTACCCCGCTCCATCGCCCTCTACGCCTCAACATCCTCATCCATTGTCGACGCCTGGCTCTGTTGTGTGGCCATTGCATGCGCTCCAGGGTACATGATCTGCTCGATGTCGTCATCATCTTCAGCTCCATGACTGTGCGGCTGAATAGGTACGCCACCTTCTCCGGCGTCGCTTGCAGCGCCGTTCTCTTCATCGCATCGGTCTTCCTCGCCCGCATATCCTTCACCCTCCTCTCCCGCAACTCCATCCCCCCCCTCGCCCGCATATCCTTCACCCTCCTCTCCCGCAACTCCATCCCCCCCCTCGCCCGCATATCCTTCACCCTCCTCTCCCGCAACTCCATCCCCTCCCTCTCCCGCATATCCTCCCCCCTCAAATCCCGCAACTCCATCCCCCCCCTCGCCCGCATATCCTTCACCCTCCTCTCCCGCAACTCCATCCACCCCCTCGCCCGCATATCCTTCCCCGTGCTCTCCCGCACCTCCATCCCCTCCCTCTCCCGCATATTCTTCCCCCTCCTCTCCCGCAACTCCATCCCCCCCCTCTCCCGCAAATCCTTCCGCCTCCTCTCCCGCAACTCCTCCCCCCCCCTCTCCCGCGTAGCCTTCCCCCAATTCCGCCTGATTCAGCGCCCCGTCCCCTGCGTACGCATTTCCATCTTCCCCATCGTATCCTTCACCCGCATCTGCAAATGCCGCCACCCCGTCCTCCGCAAACCCTTGTTCCCCTTCTGGGCCATTCTCCATACCCGCTCCCATCGCGTAAACGTCTCCCGCTCTTCCCACTTGCCAATTTTCCTCCTCTTCCGCAAACCCCTCCCCTCCTTCCATTTCTTGTCCGAACTCCTCTCCTTCCTGATTAATGTACCCTGCACCAGGATCCTCTTCGCCTCCTCCCCCCGCGTACGCGGCGCCTTCCCCATCGTACCCTTGCCCTCCTTCTGCGTACCCTTCCTCGCCCTCGTCCTCGTACTCGCCACCATCACCCATTGCGACGGACGCCTCGTAGGGAATACACGTGCCGGATGGTTAGCGTCAGCGAGTGATTTTGTTAGCCCTGAGCTCCGACCCCCATGACTGAAACTACCTCACGGGAAATCGTAGCTCACGGTAAAACGGTGTTGACGGCGAAGTAGGCTCACTGCAGGTGCCGAGCAAGGCAGATTGGCAAGAGAGCAAGCTAGCTTGCTGGAGAGAGGGACGGCCTCGCCTCTCAGCTAGGGTCGTTCAAGCTTCGTTGCTGGGGTTTCCAACGTCTTGGCTGTACAGTGATGTCATTTGGGATCTTCAATAGCAGATGTCGTGATGTCAACAGTAGCGATGCCAGCAAGCCAAACACGGCCACACTCGTTGAGGTGAGAAAAACATTTTCCCGCGGGAACGTAATCGTCGGGCACGCCCCGACATCGAAGCATTTTTTCCGATGCCGGAACGACTAGTCAGTCTCCCACGTTCACCCATTGTTCCTACATTTACGAACTGAGCACTTAGCAACAAGGCAGCGGGCAGAGCAAGCTTGCCATGATAGAAGGGGGGAAAGGTTGCAAATCGTCGATTGAACAGATTTCTGCTGGCCGCAAAAGCTTCGAGCAGGAAGCCACGCAACTCACAATCGCGACATCTGAGGCAACTTGTTCAGTGTTTGTCCAAGTCTGTAGGGTGGAATTGACGGTGGCGTGAGCGGTGATGCTTGAACTGTTGCGGGCAATTGGCGTTTTACTTGAACTGTTCACAGAATGCGATGCCTTCTCAGAACAATGGACAGAATCTCGCCCAACAATGCTACCAGGTGAGCCAAGTCTGGCGTGGCAGTTTCGCCTTGGCGAGATCGGCTACGTATGAGAATGGTGCACCGTGGGAACTACATTCTCAAACATATTCTTGCCTATAATCCATACTTGTTGAAAAAGTTCACATGGTTAACGAGCAATATATTGGTCACTCGCACAGCTAGGTATGCATTAAGGGGTGTCAGTTGACAGCACGCTGTCATGAAGGGCGGTGAAACAGGAAAAATATGAGCACGGCATTGTGGTAATACATGCTCGATTATGGGGTTTGAAGCAGCAAGGTGCTTAACTGGTCCCAACATAAGCGAAGTGCGAAGTGGCGTAAAACGTTACGCATGGATGGGAGAATTGGTTGCTCATTAGTTTTTTTGTCAGTATAGCCCGTCTATTTCGTTTCAGGCTGCACCCGAACACGGGGTACGCATGCCAATCTACGGCTTAGGCGGAGGTATAGGTAGTGAGGAGCTTAACAATGAAGGGCAGAGAATGAGATGAGGTGCAGTGAAGGGAAAGAGGTGCAGAGATTGATGTGAGGTGCACATGAGGATGTGAGGTGCAAAGATTTTTACGAGGTGCACATGAGGATGTGAGGTGCAGAGGCGAGTGCAGAGAAGGGTACGAGGTTCATTGAAGGATATGAGGTGGAAGTAAAGGAGTGGAGGTTGGAGGGGAGGTGAGGAAGGAGCAGTTGTGATAAGGGATGCAGATGCAGAGGAGGAGATGAGGGGGTGGCTGAGAGTGGGAGATGTGTACATAGGACACCGCAATCCCATTGACGCACAGCACTCAATATTCGGTAGCAAAGGTTTATACATGCAAGATTAGGCGTGACAGACTCAAAACTATACTAATCAAACCGTTTCTTCATAGCATCTAGCATATCGTCCCAGATGCCCAGTTCGCGATTGTGCAACGGGTCCGGATTCAAAACACCTTGGCGCCACACCTCCCTGAAAAGGTCCTGATGCCACTGTTCTCTGGAAACATCATGCCGCCACACCTCCCTGAGAAGATCCTGCCGCCAAACGTCTCCGTTCGCCGGACGGGCCCTACACTTCGCTGCTCGCCGGTTGCGGACAGGATAATCCGCAACATACAAGAATAACGGATGGCCAACACCGGCGGCCGGAACATAAATGGAAGGGACCGGGTCCATGGATGTAGCCGTACAGCAAGCCGTTGTGTGCAGAAAGTCTGCAAAGTGTGTGAATGGAAGGACAGTGGGGGAGCATGGGATTAGCTGGATGTTGAACACTAGAGATTGTGGGATTGCCAACGAGAGTGTAGAACGGGAGAGAGCGATCAGCGCAGCACGGTGAGAACATGGTTTGCATGCATAAATGAAACGAGCCGTGGGAGAGCTGACATAAAGAAAGGTAGCGAGCTAACATCAGCAAGGGAGGGAGCTCAAATGCAGCATGGGTGAGAGCTGACATGCAGCAAGAGAGAGAGCTGACATGCAGCAAGAGAGAGAGCTGACATGCAGCAAGAGAGAGAGCTGACATGCAGCAAGAGAGAGAGCTGACATGCAGCAGCGGAGAGAGCGGACAGGAAGCAAGGGGCTGGAACTGAAATGCAGTATGATAGAGAGACTACTTGCAGCAAAGGAGATAGCTGACATGCAGCAAGGGAGAGAGCTGACATGCAGCAAGAGAGAGAGCGGACAGGAAGCAAGGGGCTGGAACTGAAATGCAGTATGATAGAGAGACTACTTGCAGCAAAGGAGATAGCTGACATGCAGCAAGGGAGAGAGCTGACATGCAGCAAGAGAGAGAGTGGACAGGAAGCAAGGGGCTGGAACTGAAATGCAGTATGATAGAGAGACTACTTGCAGCAAAGGAGAGAGCTGACATGCAGCAAGGGCGAGAACCAACATCAGCAAGGGAGAGAGCTCAAACGCAGCAAGGGTGTGAGCTGACATGCAGCAAGAGAGAGAGCTGACATGCAGCAAGGGAGAGATCAAACATCCGCAAGGGAGGGAGCTAAAATGCAGCATGGGTGAGAGCTGACATGCAGCAAGAGAGAGAGCTGACATGCAGCAGCGGAGAGAGCTGACATGCAGCAAGGGGCTGGAACTGAAATGCAGTATGATGGAGAGACTACTTGCAGCAACGGAGAGAGTTGACATTCAGCAAGGGAGAGAGCTAACATCAGCAAGGGAGGGAGCTCAAACGCAGTAAGGGTTAGAGCTGACATGCAGCAAGAGAGAGAGCTGACATGCAGCAAGGGAGAGAGCTGACATGCAGCATGAGAGAGATCTTACGTGCATCAAGGGAGAGAACTCAAATGCAGCATAGATGAGAGCGGAATTGCAGCACGGGCGTCAGTGAAAGCGCAGCACGGGAGAGAGTGGCCATCACATGCAGCAAGGGAGATAGCGCAAGCGCAGCAGTGGAGATAGCGCAAGCGCCGCAGTGGAGATAGCGCAAGCGCAGCAGTGGAGATAGCGCAAGCGCAGCAGTGGAGATAGCGCACGCGAATCTCCTGAGGTTTGCGGAGAGGCGGTTAACCGAGCGCAGCGGGGATCCCGCGTCGCGAGGGTGAGGCAAGATGCGGGAGAGAAGGAGCTCACCAAAATGCTGCCCTACGTCGACTGACGGTGCTATCCCGCGGCGCGCAGGGGAGCAAGACACGAGGATGATACTTTCGCGCTAGATATCCAAATCCAAGGTGAGGGGATATTTGTGCAAACACCTGAGGGATCGCAACAGCATCATGGGAGAGAATGAACAGCAACAACGGAGGGTGTACGAAAGAAGAACCGTCGTAAGCGGATTAGAGGCAAGGTAGCGGATGGAGAAGAGACGAGGCAGAGGCATTTGTGGTAATGCCGCGACGTGGGGAATGTTGAGTGGATGGGTAGCATAGGCAAGCGTCGAGCACGGGATAGAGCGATCAGCGCAACAAGGGGGTGGAGGGAAACGAGAAGCATGGAAGAGAGCGATAAGCGGAGCAAGGGGATAAAAAGCTCGCGAGCAGCAGTGGAGAGAGCGCAAACGCGCACGCAGGGGAGAGATCATTAGCGCAGCCAGTTGAGAACATGCATGCATGCTGCACGGGAGCATGCATTGATACCAACAAGGGAGAGGAGGGAAACGAGGAGCATGGGAGAGAGCGATCATCGCACAACTTGGAGAAAGGGCAAGCGTGCAGCACGGGAGAGAGCGCAAACGCGCAGCACGGGAGGGGGACATAGCGCAGCACGGTGCGAACAGGCAAGCATGCAGCACCGGTGCATGCGAAGATACCAACAAGGGAGGGGAGGGAAACGAGGAGCATGGCAGAGAGCGAGTAGTGCAGGACAGCTAGACAAGGCAAGCGTCTAGCACATGAGAGAAAGCACGTGGGATTTTGAGAGAGATAGCACAAGCCGTGATAGGCAGAGAGCATGGGGAGCAACACGCGAAAAGGATCGTTATCTTCCTGAGCGATATGCAACGTAGGTGAGGGGATCTCAGGGCAACAGATCCAAGACCGCTACGGTGCGTTGTACAGATGGTAGATCAGCGACGGAGAGTGTGCTACGGCAAGACAGTGGCAAGCGGATCGGAGGCAATGTACGGATAACGCAGCAACGTAGTTCTTGTCGAGGGGATTGCAAGCGGGATCTCGCGACGCGATAGGCTCCTGAAAGCGAGGGGAGAGTAGGAGCTCACAAAACTGCTGGAGGGTGCTGTCGCCAGTCCGCGACACCTCAGCGCGTCAGGTGGAAACTTGGTGTCGCTTGGCGCTTGTCGGTGTAGCAGACAGAGAGCTTCTAGCTTCGAGTTCAAGCTCTCAGTTAGCGATGATTCCGTCTGAATGCGAGTTTCACATGGATCGGGGCTGTGGCTTGCGTTGCAACCACCCAAGGGCCAATTTGGCGATTCGGGAGGGGAAGTCTGACACCTGTTTGACGCGATTGGTCACTGTCGATTCCCGCCGAACTAACCTCCTGACTTTCCCGAACCAGCAGTCTTGTCGGTGACATTGAGGTGTGGTCGGGGCTAGCCCATGGGTCGGGCACAAATGGGTCAAGCGGGTGGTAGTATAAAATAATAAACATGTATGTGAACATATATACCTACAGTGACCATCGTATAGCGAGTACACCAGACAATTCTTATCGATCACGAGCCGCGTTCTAATTGGAGAGCAGCGTTCCTCGCCAGTCAAGTTTGAATTCTAAATTTGAATTTCGTAACATATGCGAGGTCGGGC